TGCTTCATTATTTAGTTCGGCTATGGGATTTTGCTATTAAACCACACATCAAAGTTATTGAAGGCAGCTTCTTATTGGACCAATGTCTTGGCTTGGCTTCAACCTTCAACATATCCAAATTAATGGCATTTCCGTTCAAGGATAATAAACACTACTGCTACAGGATACAGCCTATCCTCATAAGGCCTGTGTGGAACAAATCTGAAGCCCCCCACCGTCATTGTCCTCAGCCCGCCAAATCACCAACTGTGACGTAGGAACATATCCTTTCTCGCCGTGGCGTAGGCTGTTTGCACCACAGCACCGGTTATGTTATGATTCCGCGAGCTTTCGCTTTATGCATACTTGGTCTTTTTTAGATCTCGTTTTTATCTCTTCTTTGCCTATTATGTTAATCAAAATTAAATATTTTTCATTATAAATTTAAATTCTAAACTACGACCGCTAGTGCAAACAGCTAACCGAAAAATACACACTCTAAGGTGCAGTTTCACAATAGTAGGTTAACTACTAGTCAATTGATAACCACTATATAGTTTGACACAAAACCGATGTTTCACAATTAATAGTTATCATATAACTTATAGTAGACTTGTAGCAAAATTAACCTCAGGAACAGTTTGTGTTAGCTTCCGGTTTATTGATTACTTGATTTGTTACACACAGGCCTTATGAAAATAGGCAATCCTGCATCCTGTAGTAGTAGTGTGTATCATCCTTGAAAGCAAACGACTTAGTTATGACGTCGGATATGATGGTGACACACCATATGGCGGTGATTACCAAAAACTAGGCCGATAAGCAATCCTCAGAGTGTTTATTCTCCTTGGTTTCCGATTGGCAGATCTAGTGCGGAACTAGTGCAATTGTTTTTATTTCTGTCTTTTTCTGTCGATTAAAAGGATGCAAATACACTCAGTGCGCATTGAAAATACCGATCGGAAACGCCATAAGAATCCAAAGATGAAATATTTAGCTTGGACGTGCGCCTAGCCGAGCCCCATGAATAATGCACACTACTATAGATAAAACCAGCTAAGAAAGATAAATGGCTAAGAAGAAGCCACCGCGTGATCTTTTGTCTCACTTCAAATGGAGGGCCCTAGAGAAAAGGAAATTTGCCTTCTTTATCAGTGATAACGTCAGGGGTTCTTTTTACCTAGTTGGTTCTAACAATACACAGGATTGCTTATCGGCCTCGTTTCTGGGAATCGCGGCCATATTGTGTAGCACCATTGACGATGTCATCAACTACCTCGTCAGATGTTTGCGCCAGCGGTTGAAGTTTGGAATATACATTTATGATGAAAAATATTATTTAATTTTGAATAACATAATAGGCAAAAAGGAAGATGTAAACGAGATCTAAAAAAAGTGTTAATATAGAATGTTAATTAATTTACTAGAACCAAGTATGCATGCATAAAGCAAAAGCTCGCGGAATCATAACCTGTGGTGCAAACACCCTAGGTACTTTTTTAACTGACAGACATTTTTGAAACGTTCTAAGGGCCAAATTATGGACCAACTGGTAAGTGTCTGGTTGTTACCTAGCAGGTACTTTCCATTATCTAGAGCATAGAAAGTACCTGCTAGGTAACAACCAGACACTTACCAGTTGGTCCATAATTTGGCCCTAACGGATACGTTTTCAAGCCAATTTTTTAAAACGTTTCTGTGCTATAAGGGAAGTAAATAAAAATAAAATTGTATCTACTGCTTTTTATATCATTATACCTACTTATTTGTAATACGATGGTTTAATGCGCTGCGCTTGCATTTTTATCCATACACATAGCATACCTACCTTACTTTATAATCAATAATTATAATGTAATTATTACAGAATAAAACCGCACGGTGAACGTGGAAGGTTGAATGTAATTGTTATTTCATAATAAAATTGTTTTCTACTGACGCCTTTTCAATTATTAAATAAATTTCAAAATAAGAGTCTTTTTGGCACAACATGGTTGGAGTTGGAAACATTCTGACCTCCTGACCACCATCCTTACCTACCTAGTTTTTTCATGTCTCTTGAAAACAGATTTAGTTTGAAACTTCCTTTATCAAAGTTATACCGAAATCTAAATATGTACCTTAAACCATCTTCCAAACAAATCTCCGTCATTAAATTTAAATGTTCATCTTCTATAAATGTTTATACAGTGAATTATTTCTTTTGTATTCCGTTTTGACAATAATTATTACTTGGTACCTACATACCTATAGTTTTATAACATCAAAACACGCACACTGAATTAGGGAATCAAGCTCCCTTGACGTTTAAATATACATATTATTATTTAGAATACATTAATGAGCTTTAAGAAAGTTATCAGATTCTCACGAGAGGTCGACCGTCAAAAAGCCTCGTCGAAAAGCCCAATTAGCATTTTACAAATCTTCATTTACGTCTCTAAGCGTTTTATTAGTCGTTTGTTTTAACTTAAATTGTTCGTTTAATTTATTTTGTTTTGGTTAATTAAGATTTTTATCAAATTAGAATAAAATACTTTGAATTTATACTTATATACAAATGTAACCAGACTTGGACAATTATTAATAAAGTACCTAAATAAATACATATGTATAGGTACTTATTCAATGTGAAGAAAAATACCAAGTCGTATGTTCTCAAAATTCAATTCAGAATTTTGAGACCACGACTTGGTGTTTTTCTTCACATTGAATAATTGGAACACAGGTCTTTTTGAGCCATGAACTATTTTTTCGAATATATAGGTACCTACGCTAATAGGTTTGGAAGTTTTTAAAAAAACTTTAAGCACCTATAGTATATGATTATCACAATAAGCATCCTGAATGTTTAATATTAATTAAAATTATTATTTCAATATTATTCTCACATTAGTCGCCTAAGAAGTAGTCTCCTCGTTTTAATTACTTTAATCATAATTAATTAAAACATCAAAACAAATAATGATGTCAATAATAATACATCGGAATACAATGGGGCATTAAAAATACCTACATACACGCTCGTTTAATTGGTACCATATTCTTATTATAATACACTTAAAATCTCATCGTGAAAACCTGATTGATATCTTTCCTAAATCCTTCCTTCAGAGGAAATGGACGTATTGTAAGTGTAAAAAAGCGCGTTGCAAAATCTCCAAAAAAAAATTCTTATTAAAGATACTTACCATATCAATCACTCAAATGTTTTGCAATGGGCATAGAAGTTGATCTGGTATTGACGAGGTTTAGTGTAAGAGCAAATGGTCAAAGTTGTTTTCATTGTCTGAACAGAATTTTTCTGCATTTTGACTGCTGGTAAAATTTCAAACAATAATGGTTCCTTTATAAAACCTATAGGTGATGATTTAAAGTTTTCTGGAATATCAAAATTTTGTTTTGGATGAAGCTCTGAACTCAAATGACTATTACACCATTCAGTACCATTCAACCAAAACTTAGAACTATCTGATCTTGATGGCGAAACAATTCAATTTGAGGAAACTTGATTACTATAGATTTGGTGAAAAATTCTGCTAATGATGATGAAGATTCTAATTTGATCACGTACTAATACTAATGTCCTGTTGAGGATAATTCCGGTGCATTAGACCGTCTCAAAACTTTATACCCCGGGCAAGGACATCATCGAATCTTCACGCTAGAGGAACTTCCCTGCAGTCAAACAATCGTATCTTGAATAGAATTCATTACTTTAATAAATTTCCTTGTGTTTGGGCTATCCAATTCATACATATACGTGTTTCGTTAATACAATAGTTTATAGATAAGGAGTTAATGGTTTTTTTTTTCACCCCCACTTTTGCAAAGGATGACGCTTTGGTGGTATAAAAGATTTTTTTGGAATTTTTATTATTTAGTTAAATTCGGGTTTTTGGGGAGATTTCGTGGTTAAAGATGAAGTTTGCTTATGTGAATGTAAGTTGATGATTATTGTGACCTCAATCTTGCATTATCGGAATATGTGATTATTATGATTAATCAGTTGTGTGTGGTATAATTTTTTGGAACTACTCTACCAAAGTTGCAGAAGTACCTACAACGTCAGCACTATAATTTACAGCAGTCGGTTCTATGCATGTGTTCTATGAGAATAAGAATTTTTCGACATTACACCAATTTTCTTGTGGAATATTATGGTTTATAGTGATAGAGAATTATATTGATTCTTTGGAAATACCTATTGATCACATTCTTATTGAATTATGTGTAAACTTTTTGTTTCCTCAACTTCTTATTTGCTTCAATTTTACTTATGATAACTTTTATCCACAGATTTCTTTAGTTCATCTGTTTTAGCTTATTATTTGTGTTCATTCAGTAGGTAACTTCAGCTGGGATATTTGTTTAGAAAAAATTCAAACTATAACTTCACTTGTAACAAAACTTAAAAATTTTCATACATATTCTAACAATAGCTAGTTTCAGTTGTGATAAGTCCTTCCTCAAAAGGTTTCATGGATTCAATATATAATTTTGCCTACTGAAATGCTGCAACCTTGCTCCTTCTTTTCATAATAACATTTTCAATGATTTGTTCGTTTTTTTCTCTTCTTCGCAATTATTTTCTTTCAGTTTCACAAGCTCTATTTATTCAATTACCCTACTGTACTCCACTAATCAGGTTCATCCAGACCGCATGTTTTCCAAATTGACAAAAACTGATGCTATCTCTAGAGCATGTTTCCTTTTTATAATAAAAATATACCTACTTCTTCATGTCTAGTATTTTTGCTTTTTTATAATTAAACGTGGCAACATGGCACATTTTTGTCTGAATTCCTTCCGTAACTTCAGATTCCTGGCCAGACATTACCTTGCATATTATCAATTCTAGAAATGACGTTATTGGAGATGGAAGATGATCACAAAATATAGATGCAGTTGATTCTTTCTCTATAGCTTCATTTGTATTATCAGCTTCGATGATAACTTTGGCTTCTACACTACCTCAGTTAAAAAACCTTGAGAATTTATAAGAATTCATTTTTGACAATTTTGGTTGAATGTTACACTTAAATTCATTCATCATTCTTATTCACATCTTCCAGGTAATATGGCAATTCTTACTACTAAGCTACATAAAAGCAGCTGATGACGACTACAACATAGTCCACAAAGATGGAGCATTCGAATTCGGCTACAAAAATCCAGATTCCTATCATTTCGCTGACGGAAACAGAAACAACGTTGTGAGAGGGGAATTTGGCGGAAGAAATCCAAAAACAGGTGCGAAAACCAACTCCACCCAAATCAACAATAATTATTTTGTTAATTTTAGGAGGTCTAGACTCGACAATCTACACAGCAGGGCCGAGAGGTTTCCGACCTCGCGGTAAAAACGTCTTCAGAAAGTACGACTTGAACCAAATTGGACCGAGAGCAGTGGGGTCGCCTGACGATCCTTATTACGACCCGTACGAAGACCCGAGCTACAATTTCGCTTTCAGAACGCGCACGTATAGTAGACAAGAAGGCGCTAATCGAGCTGGTGATGTCAATGGCAGGTGAGAACTTTTTTTAATGGTGAAAGAGGATTTCTGGGCTCATAACCTGTTGGAATAAGGTTGATGCTAGTAGGACAATAATTGCAATTCAAACTTTTATGAAGCGTTCCTTAATTTATCTTGTGATATTAGTAGAGCTTCAAACTTACTCTTAACATGTATCCTTTAAAGACCATTTTTAAATAATTCATAAGTAAAAAGTTTTGATATAGGTATCCGTATGGTTTGGTTTAGGTTAATCCATGGATTGGAAGCCACACTAACTTAAAACTGTAGACAGTGTAGGTACCACCAAACAGACTTTATCCTTATATTTCTCTTATTAATGTGTATGTAGACATTTTTTATCTCCAATGGAGCTTATAATCCAAACACCATTTATTGGTAATTCTTAGTGAAATAATCTTCCATGGTGTTCTAAGCTGTTATTTGGCAAGCTTAAGTGCTTTTTTTCAATGATAAATATAATATCTTCTTTTTTATCTGGTACTATATTCTCGTTTTCTCTTCTTCTCATGCTACAGTTTCCTTATTGCTCACTAACGGGCGTCCAAATTTTCTATATGCTTTTTGAGTTATTTCTTCATTATTTTCTGCTTTGAAACATTCTTGAATTTTCTCTATTAGGTACCTACTAATTGTTCTCTCATTCTATTTTCCGGTTTATTTTTTCCTTTTTCTCTGACACTGTTTCCTCATTATTTTCTATTTTGGGATGTTCTTCCCTCTTTCTCTCATACAATTTCTTCCTTATTTTCTACTCGAAGATGGTTTTCTTCTTTTCTATATCGTTATACCATTCTAATGCTGCTTCTAAGCTGGTAATCTCCAATTACGGAAACTCAATAAAATCGTATTTTTCTATACTTAAACTAATCATTGATGAAGATGATGCTGGTATGAACGCTTCAGAAATGGCAGCAAGGAAAAAGAAAGAAATTCCAGAAATAAAGATAAAACGGATCATCATGAAAATAAGCAAAATGAAGAAGCTTCAACGAATTGCCTAAATGGCACTTCTACGATTTCGCTATCTGGATTATATTGGAATCCTTTATCGATTGGAGTGTTTTTTCCTTTACATTCTTCCATTTTGAAATTGACTAGCAGTTTTTCTCTAAATTTTCTTTGATTTACTTCTGTCTTGTCCTCTGTTCTACTAACATTCATTCCTAGAAAGTTTTCAATTTGTCCCAAATCCTTTGCAAATATTGTTTCAATAGTTTGACTGTTTCTTCCACTCCATTATTATTTCCAACTACTAACATATCATCTACATATAACAAAATCCATACATTCTCATCACAATACAAACTGCAATCATATTTACGTTCAATCAAACTTATTCTCTATAGCAAAATCGTTAAATGTATCATAACAAACTTTTGGTGCCTCTCTGAGTCCATATACAGTGCTCTATTTAATTTCAATACATGTGTTTTGATTCTTGATCCTAGTGGTGCATAAATTTATATGTCACTCTTTAATTCTCCATTCAAAAAAGCAGTAGGAATATCTAACTGTCGTATTTCCAAGTTCTCTTGCAATGCTATAGACATTAATAATTTTATTGTAGATATTCTGGCAACTGGTGAATATACTGGATTAAATGGATCCTCCTCTTTTATCTGAAATCCTTTTGCAACAAATCTGGCTTTTTTAATACCGTCTTCCTTTGTTCTAAATACCCATTTTGTCTGAATAGCTGTCTTTTCAGCTGGTAAATCTGCTTCTGTCCAAGTATTGAGTTTTTCATGAGAATTTAATTCTTTTTCGATAGCTTGTCTCCATTATTTTATGTTTATCGCATCTTTGTACTCTACTGGATCACTGTGATCTGTAGATATTAAGCAATATGCATTGTAGATCTCATAATCATTTACCGTGCGTTCGTTATTTTGGTCTGAGTTCTCCGAGCATGACTTTACCGTTCGTTTATTCAAAAAGTGTACTCGGTGCAGCCTCATTCGCGTTCGTTTATTAAAATTTCTGGCACTTTTATACAGCGTTCAACTACTCTGTTCGCTCGCTGGTCACGTGGTTACGGCTCCGCTCTGCACGCTCTGCTCTTCGAGCAAAATACCGAACGCAAGGTTAGATAGGTACCTATTTTGGTTTATTATTCTGTCTACCTCTAGATGTTTCATCCGTTGTTGGTATAGTTTCTTCTACACCATTTCCAAATCCAAGCGGCAGTAAATGACATTAAATAACCTAAATTGTAAACAAACACCAATCTTCCTATTGGTTGAAATGCCCTACCTGGACTAGTGCGCATGCACGGATGACATTTGATAGGTTGTAATGAAAATTACCAGTTATGTTATTTACTGCCGCTTGGATTTGGTTCAACCATAGATTCTCATAACTAGCCATTTCTTCTTCAACTATCGCTTTCATCTTCATAAACTTCAATCTCAGTATTGTTTTCTCCTTCTTCTATACCTAGTTCTTCTTGGGAATAATTAAAACCATGTATTCCGAAATCCGAATTGATAATCTAACATTTATCAACAAAGAACAAAGAACTTAACGTGGAACAAATAACATGTTACATTGACGGTATTTTCTTGACAACAATGACAACTTAAAAACAGACTACTTTAAAATAAGGTTATGTACACCGAAGAAAAAAAAACTAACCTCTTCTTTTCATAAACATATGTTGGTACAAAACTACATCAAGGTCACTTTCTGAATTAGGAAATAATCTCAACAAATGCTACCTACTTCTTGGTCGGGAACCTATTTGTAATTTTCTTTTTTTTGTTGTTTCGTGCAGTGGTTTCGCGATTCTTGAAAAGTCCTTGATAAATTTCCTATAAAAATTGTAAAGCCCTAGAAAGCTTTACACGTCCTTGACCTTCTTTGGGCATGGAAACTCTTTTATATACCTATGCATTTTATTTTGCCCTCGCCTGGGTTGATCCCCCTGCTGCTTACAGTAAACCCCAAAATTTTAATTTCCTCCTGCAAGTATTTGCATTTACTCGGTTTTAAAGTTAAATTTAAATTTGCTTCTCGAAGTCTTTGGAAAACTTTCCTTAACTGCTTAAGGTGGATTTCTAGAGTGTTCGAAAATATAACAATATCGTCCAGGTATATCAACACTTCTTTCCACATCACGTCCCAAAATATTCTGTCCGCCAGTTCTTGAAAAGTCGCAGGAGCGTTGCATAGTCCAAAACTTAAGACGTTGAACTCATATGGATATGAACCATGTCCTTGTGCTACGAATGCGATGTATTGCTTTGAATGCTCCTCTACTGATACTTGCCATTGAAAAGATGACCAAACCTCTGAAATATTTTGCATCTCCTAAGTATGCCAATAGGTCATCAATTTGTGGTAAGGGATAGTTTGAATTTTTCGTTATAGCGTTAATTTTCCTGAAATCATGCAGAATCGTGTGGAACCGTCCTTCTTTTTTACTAGTACCACCGGACTGACCCAGGGGGCATGGTCTTATTACATCATGTTTCAGCATTTCGTTGATTTGCTCGTCAATTATACGTTCCTTCTATGATTCTCGATATAGTCTACTCTTTACTGGTTTGGTTGCTTCAATTTCTATAACATGCTCTGTAGTGTTAGTTTTCCCCATGTATTTTGGTGGCTTTTTTCCTCTTTGTTCCATATGTTTTCGAAGTCGTTATTGCTTATGGTCACCACTTCGTCCTTTGGTTCCTCCGTTACATTGAGGTGCCAGTGGCTTGAGATTTCTTCGCTTATTGGCCTTAGGTGCCCTATGTCGGAAAACTTGTAGATGCGACCGAGTTGGGTGTTCTTTGACCTTAGTTTTACCAAAACGTTTTGTCCGTCCGAGTATATCTGTGGTTCTGGGACTAGTTTATTTCTGGTTAGAAATGCATCGTTCCACACGAATTCCAACGATCTTTCTTCTAGTGGTACCGGTTCTATTTTTAGTTTCATTAAACTATTTTCGTGAGGCGAAGCCGTGTAGTCCTCCCCTGCTGTTGCGCTGTTGCTTTCGTAACCTTTTCTTGTGTCTGAAGAACCAGATTTCCAAACCATTCCGTGGTTTCCGTTTCCTTTGTCCGGCATGGTTCTTCATCTGACCCTGTTTCTACAGCGTTTTTTGCGGGAGTTTTTTCTCTTGCTGGATTCCAGTCGCAGATAAGAATACTTATTCTTTCATGTTTGAAGACGTCATTCTTTGGACTGTGTCTTGTTTAATGCCGCTTCTGTTTTCGCTGATTGGTGGTAACGCCAGATAACGCATATTATCTTGTTTAATCTTTTCTTTAATTTTTTTCAGAACATGTAGTAGTTCGTGTGATGCGATTTTGTCTTCTCTCTCGTCCTTTATTACCATGCCATAAATAGTTCTTCTTCCTTGTGATGTGCTTATTATTTGCGCTGTTCTTATAGGCCCTTTTAGTTGTTGTGTTACTCAAAATCTTCTCCTTCTAGAGTTATTACAATATCTGGGTCGCGGCTGCTGTCGGTTGTTGTTGTATCAGGGGTTGGATCTGGGATTCAGCACGGGAATCTTAAGAACGGCATTTCCACCATATGTCACATGCCTCACGGCTAATCTGGGTAGGACCTGAGGTTGGGAGTTGCTCTTCAGGAAACACATACAACTACAAAAGGCACTTATCGTATATTGCTTCCTAGTGTGTACATTACCAAAGGGATACTACATAGGTATGCCACATGACTCTTGCGTTTAGGGCTAAACGGGATTGCAACTGAATCCCGCACGTATATAGCGGCGATGCCCTAAACGGGATTGCTCCAAGACTCTCTGGGGTAAGGTGACCCTGAAGAGACATGTAGCTACTGCTCTCTTGGGTAAGGAGACCCTAAGGAGAGAGATGCGAACCAAAAAGGATTAATGTTACTTTCTGGGGTAAGCTAACCCTGAGAAGAGAAAGACGCGGAAAGATTCCGATACCATTATCGGTTTTCATATCCATTTCGTGTTAACATTCCTACCCATCTCCTACCCACTTTAGGCGCGAGGCGTGTGACAATATGAAGAGAAGAAAAATTCTGGGTAACATCGAAAAATCTTGAGGAGAAAAATATTTCAGTGAGAATTTGGAAAAGAAAGGAAATATACAAATGAAGAAATCATACTTGAAAAAGATGATGCTGTGCAAAAATTCGAAGTCAATTATTAGAAATTTGATTTTTTTTCCATCGACCCATATATTTTGGTCCACAACTTTGTTAATTCCAATCCAATTTCAACATTATTAGGCTGAAATTGAAGCTAATAAAATACTCTACAAATTTTCAGTTGAAAGTTTGAATAGTTTCCCAGTTGCAAAGATTCAAAATCAAAAAATCATTGAAAATTTTGGAAATTTGATTTTTTTCCAAAAATACATCGACGCCTATCTTGGCCAACAACTTTGTTAATTTCAATCCGATTTTAACGTAATTAGGCTCAAATTAAAGCCAATGAAGTTTGAAGTTACAGTGGTTTCCCAGCTGCAAAGATTCAAAGTCAAAAAATCATTATCATTTTAGGAAATTTAATTTTTTTCTAAAAATACATCCACACTCATCTTGGTCAACAACTTTAGTAATTTCAATCCGATTTCAATGTAATTAGGATCAAATTGAATCCGATGAAATTTTCAGTTTAAAGTTTCAATAGTTTTGCAGTTGCAAAGAATGGAAGACAAGAAATTATTGTCATTTTTGGAAATTTGAATTTCTTCTAAAAATACATCCACACTCGTCTTGGTCAACAAGTAATTCCATTGCGATTTCAATGTAATTAGGCTCAAATTGAAGCCAGTGAAATCCTCTACAAATTTTTAGTTCAAAGTTTCAATGGTTTCGCAGCTGCAAAGATTCAAAGTCAAAAAATCATTGTCATTTTTGGAAATTAGATTTTTTCCCAAAAATACATTTATGCCCATCTTGCCCCACAACTTTATTAATTTCAATCCAAAAATCTTTTAAAACAATTTCAATAAATTTTGATCAGGAAGAAGAATTGGAGGTGAGGAGGAAGAAGATTTCAAAACAACTCAACAAAATCTTAACGGGAAAGAAGAAGAAAATAAAAATGGAAAGAAAAAAGAATTTTGAAAATATCTCGATAACAAAGAAGTTATTGTTATTTTTTATTTGTTGGGTTTTGTTCCTCACGATTCTTAGGTTCTTGTTTCAATGTCTCTAATATAAGTTTGCATCTATCGTCAGCCAGTTGTGCACTGCGTATCCAGTCCTCATTAGAAATATTAATATCACCGACGAAAATATCTGCACTCGTTATAAAATTTCGGTTAAGTGCATCAGCACGTGCCATTTTAAGACCATTTCGGTATTCAATATTGAATGTGAATTCTTGGATTGAGAGCCACCATTTTCCAATACGAGGTATCAAATCTCTTTTGCAGAGCGTAATTCTGACCGCATTACAATCTGTGACAATTTTGAATTTAATTCCAATAAGATATACTTGAAAATGTTTAAGTGCATCTACCACAGCTATGGTTTTAAGTTCGTGAGAGTGGTATCTCTGTTCTCCCTTGGTGGTTTGTTGACAAAAGTACAGAACAGGTCTCAATGTGTTATCAGCTTGCTGTTGCAAAAGTATGCCACCCAATACCCCATTTTGATGCAACCGTATGCACTTCAGTTTTTAAACTTGGATCATATATAGCTAGTACTGGTCGTGATGATAATGTTTCCTTGAGAGTATCAAAAGCTTTACTTTGTTCAATACCTCAAGAAAATGTAGCATCCTTTCTCGTTAGGGATGTCAAAGGACGAGCGATCGTAGCAAAGTCCTGTATATAATTCTGAAAGTAGCTAGCTTACCCAACAAACTCAAACTGTGGGGACTGAATAGCTTTTAATAGCTTCATTAAAAGCGTTTTCCCGGTTGAACACCAGATCTGCATATCTCGTAGACCAAGATATTCCACTATATCCATAACGAACTGACACTTGGATAATCTTAAAGTAAGACCCGCTGCTCTAATGAATTCAAACACTGTTTGATATATAACTAAACTAGACTCAAAATCTTTTTGGGGCAGAAGCACATCATCCATATAAGCTATGACATTACCATTTCCATATCGAAGATTTTATTAATTGTCCTTTGAAAAATCGCGGGAGCATTACACAATCCAAAAGGAACACGCAAATATTCGTAATGGCCATCAGGCGTGATAAATGCAGCCTTGGGAATTGACGGACTCGTCGATTGGAATTTGATGATAGCCGCTAAATTCAAATAGTAATCTTGGTTAGGAACAGGTCACAAACTTCCCAGAAAAAATTCTTATTTGTTGTAACCGTCACTAGAACTGATGTATTACGGGGAACTACTGAATATTTTTTAGGCCACAATGGTATTTTTCTTTGCTCTAACTTCAGAATCTCAGTTAGGTCGTCATCAGGAGTTACAATCCGTATTGGAAGACGGAGAAGTGGATGAAGTAGCTAAGAATGAAGGAGTTTTGATGAAAATTATAAGAATTTTGAACAAGAAAAATACCAGACATTTGTTATCCTGAGATCCAAATTATGAAACATCTAAGTTAGAATCTCATTGCAAGATCACTTCACCACTCATTCAAATACGAAGGAGGCTTTTTCTCTTTTTTGTTATTTGACTGATTTATGTTTTCGAGAGAATCAGATTGTTTGCCTTGATGCCTCTTTTAGAATAGTGACCCTTACTCTGTAAGTCAAAATTAGGATAACAAAAAACTCTCTGAAAAAATCCAATGCATCCAGAATTGACTCTAATATATCAATATCCAAAGGAAGTTTCCAACAATTAATCCTTTATATCTTAAACCTCTACCAGTATCTAAGTAGTTTTATTCCTTGTAGGTATACTTATCTGGATGACGTCGGTGAACGTCACAATGTCGAATACATTGCCGGAAAAAGTACCGGATTCGACGTGAAAACCCCATTTCCAGACAGCAACACGAACCAATTTGGACCCTTGTACTTTCGAGGAAGAGGCCGGCCAATACCCAGAGGCAGGACCTCCATTCAGCGAGGCTTAGATGGAAGTTACAAGTAATTTAATGCCTTCTAGATTTTTGCTTATTTAACTATAAATATTTGTAGGTTTGTTTCTGCTGGGCCAGATCAAAGAAGAACCGAAGTCAGCGATGCTACAGGCCACGTTAGAGGCTCTTACACTTATCTAGACGACAAAGGTGTTCAACACGCAGTACATTACATTGCAGGTAGGTTTTGAATTTTTGCTATAAAAATATAGCAATTAATTTTAGGTCCAGAGACTGGATACAGAGTGTTGAAAACGGTTAAAGGGGCGCATTTACCTTCGGTATTTCCATTCGAACGTCCGGACCTTGTTGCGCCTGATTATTATGAAAGCGACGTGGCTGAAGGTGACGTGTTTGATACTGCTGCTAGTGGAAGACCTTTTAAACCCCGAGGTGAATATTGCTTTTGATTGTTTACTCTAAACGGCTCATTGGTCTCCAATAGGTAAACCATCCAGACCAAGTCCAGACCTTGGCAATGGAATCGATATAGGCAAAGACGATTATGACCAATTTGATGGAGACAAGGGTAATAAGCCAACAAGTTCAACTGGCCGTCCATCCGGATCTACAACCTCTATACCAAGGCCTAGTAGTACTAGTAGTAGTAGTTATGACTACGATGGTAATGAAGAAGATTCGGTGGGTTTTGGTGACCTATTTGGTGGTAGTGGCAGTACCACATTCAGACCTAGTAGTAGTACCACGTCAAGACCTAGTGGTGGTTTTAGACCGACAACCGGACGTCCTACAGTAACCACTTTCAAGCCGAGCAGCTACAAACCGAGTGACGAAGATGATGATGGTTCGTATAAGCCCGATGGAGACGATGGAGCTTATAGACCCGATGGTGCTAGCTCAACCACTTCTAAACCAACAGGTAATTTTGCTGATTAAATTTTTTGGTAACATAATAAAACTTTTTTTACAGGATACCCGTCTAAAAAGCCTGGTTTTGAAGATGAATATGATTTCAACGAAGTACCATTTGGTGGTGGCAGTACAAGTACTTACGGAAGTGATTCTGGTGGTAAGTTATTATGAAAACATAAACAAGCTTCACTCGTGGCCAATTATTTCATCGAAACTCATGCTTGTATACGTTTGCTTCGTGTATTTTTAGGAAGAAAAAGACCTTGTCCGAAATGTACCGGCACCATCATTACAAATATTGGTTACAAACCTTTTAATGTACCCCCAGGTGTTTCCGTCAGGTAAATAGACAACAGAGATGTTGGAAATGTGAATAATTTTTGTGTTTAGAGTAGACAAAGGAATACGGTGCCACTTTTAGTTTGTAGATTTGAAATCCTTTTCACTAATAGTTTTGTATTCATTATAGGATGTCTAAAAATGTATCAATTATTACTGTATTTTCTCAGCCCCAGCAGCACAACCATGTGGAATTGTACGGATGATAAAGGAAGCATTGAATGCTTGAAGTGTAAATGATTTTTGACAAATCTTGATAATTATTATCAATCAAGTTATAATGAAGGTTCTTCGAAAAGGAAATCTTATTCGAATTAATTCATCTACAATAATTATTGATAACATTCATGCATTAATCATGCTTTTTATTCAACCAATAATCACAAATTAGAATTGAATGTGATTTATTTTTTTCAGAGCCCACGTCCAGTCAATAGACCTTTATCCCTACGACGAATTGAGTCCAAGCGAAGCATACAAAGCTGACGACTCTATTTTGAGCAGAGGGCAACTCAGAAGTTCCAATGATACTCTAATCGGTACAAAAAAATCCTCACCTATCGAAAAAAATAATTAAGATTAAAGATTAGATTGTAGAGTTATTTATTTTTTGAAAATAAAAAATTTGAAAACCATTTAATTATAATGATTTTTGTTTTGCTGAAGTTCTGTTGATGGCGATTTTCTGTTTTTTTTTTGTTCTTTTTGCGATTAGAACGCCGCTTTGAGGGCATCCTTGAGTAACGTCAGTTTGTAGGGTGTCTTCATATACGTTGACTTAACTCGCCGGTTCTTAAGCATGTTGTGTGTGCCCCTGCAGGTGGCGTTGTTGACGTGGACCGAGAAACTTTTCTCTGTATTTCTCCAATGAATTCTGGAGAACCTGTTACCACCACAAAACCGATAAGGGCTGTGTGGTGAGAGATGTCGGAGGATTCGGAGGAAGAGCAGCAGGTGCAGATGTCTGATCAGATACTGTTGGCTCCAAGTTAACAAAAGATGGATGACCATATATGCTGAATTTTAGGTGCATTTCCGAATATAATCACTATGTAACATTTTTATAATGTCATCAACTTTAATTGAATAAGTGACAGCACTCAACACCTTCACAACAATACCATAAACCCAGAAACAGACTATTACGTGGCAAAACGGACACTGCCACTTTGTTACCCGCAGAACGTAACGGAGAAGTCAATAATAAGATTTTGAGGAGGTGGGAAAGTTAATGGGTAACTGAAAAGAAAAAAAAAAGAAAAAGAGAAGAGAGAGGGTTGGTTGGTGGCTGAAATCTAGAAACGTGATTTCGTGTAAAGGGTTGCCGACTAGCTTCCAATACGGAGAGGGGTGTGGGTCAATTAAATAATTAAATATAGAGCGCCACCTGCTTTTTCCCTGTAGTACACGAAATCAACCGATATAACGAAAGCAGGAAACTTCTACGGACCTATAGCAGCACAACCTGAAATATAAACGTAAACAAGAAGGGAGGACAAAAGTGAAACGCTTTGCTACAATCAGGTACGGGTTTTAATTAGAACCAGAAATGTGAACCAGAACAGGTTGACTCTAGAGCAGGTTCGAAGTGGGTTTTCCGAACGCCCTGGAACACTGAAAATTATTTACACTGGAACCAGACCAGAACAAGAAAAGAAATCGTCTAACCATATGTTCTTACAATAGTATTTATAATAATTATTAATTACACTCAACTTGAGTCCCTAAATTAAAAAAAAAAGAGTAATAACAATTGACAGCAATAATACCTGAAATATTAAGTAATAAATAAGTTCACTTAATGCAGTACCTTCGTAAATGGCCATTTAACCCCAGTGTACAAGTATTTACCTGTATTCAGTGCAGCATTAATCAAAGTTGAAGTAACAATACGTAACCTGAAGGGCTTTAATATTATGTAACAATATAGGTAGTATAGATACCTAAATACCTAATAAAATTGAAGTACTTAACAATACATAACCTGAATGGCAAGTTTCATAAACAAAAAAAAAAGGTAATATAGAGAATTAATTAGAAATTGAAATAACAACACATAATCTGAAGGGTAATTTGATCTTGTAGTAGAACTGCGTTGCTGTGGTGAGTTAGGCACTCCAACAAGGGGTTGGTAAGGTTTGATAGGCTTCAGATATTAGGACATTACAACACACTTATCAAACCTGATTAGTCCCTAATCTCTTGGGGAAACCTGACGGATGGAATTAATATCTTCCAGTGTTTCCGATGGCCTGGGACTGGATCAGGGCCGCCACAAGAAGTAACTGGCCCTGGGCACTGAAGTTCAGTAACCAGGAGTCACAAAGGCTTCCAATTGTCTTAGGAGGCTGAAGATATGAGGTAGGTAAGACTTGAAGTATACAGTAAGCTTGACGTATAACTTATTACTCTAAATAAGGACAAAAGTGTGAAGAATAACGGTGACGTCTGAAGGTAAAGATTAAAGCGTAACTTCTAAAGGTGAAGATTAAAGTGTAACTTCTAAAGGTGATGAATAAAAGGTGACGATTAAAACGTTACGTCTAAAACTGAAGATTAAAGGCCTGAAACAAATGGACGTTATGAGACAGGGCGTGGAGCAATAGAGGTAGGTATGTCCGATATTCGGAATTTGACCGTATAATTAACAGAAAACTATACTTTTACATAGGAAATAGAGAAACACAGAGAAGATTAATAAGAAAAACCACTTACCAAAATTACTTTTGGCCTTTAGGAACAAACAATTGGTCACGTTGCTCTTTCTCGACTCACAAAAAAAATCCGCACAAGGCGATTGGGTGCTAAAATAACGGATTAGCCACCCTAGATCTATGAGCGAAAACTAGACAACTCAGAAAATCGGCAAAATGTTCCTGAGGAATTTTCCCGAACACTTAATCGTGAAAAGTCCTCGACCTGAATGACCTCTGCTTATCCCTGCAATGTCCTTTAAAAAGTCTCTGTCAAAACTCCAAGGTGGAAGGTACTGGGGATTTTGATGGTAGTTGGGGCATGGTACTTACTCAAATTAAGTTAGTACCGGTCATTGACTCTATTTGGAGCGCTGTCAATCTAGACAATCTATTCGGAACAGACAATCAGCTGTTCTAGTGTAAATATTGTGATTTTGTTTGTTAATAAATTAATTGTCCATTTATTTTAACCCTACTAACAGGAAATCAATTCCATTAATAAACCTCTAACTTAATGATTCTGGGAAGAATGAAAAGTTTGATGAAAAGTGTGGCCACAACCATTGGATAGAAAACAGTGGCTTGAGGAAGGTATGCCATTCAGAGAGGTGAACAAGCTTATTTCCTTCTATTTTGGTGCGGGAAAAATCATTCCGTAACAAGACTTCATAAATTTTACTAATACTCTCTCTCCGGTCACAAACAATTGACTTACAATACCTGGTTTAGATTTTTGTTGCATTATCAAGTGATCAATGTCCGGTTTCCATAAATCCAGACGCGTACGTCGTACGAGGTTTCATCTTAAACATTATTTCGAAAGGTGACAACCCAGTCGAAGAAAAAGGCGTATTTCTATAGATAGGCTAACAGAAATTGGTCTAATCTAAAGCTGGCATAGACAGAAAATATCTAGCTTTGTTCTCATCATATAACTGTCTCAACAATTTTTTTTAAATCTCTTGTACGCCTTTTTCTGCTGTTCTATTTGATAAGGACGAATTGGTGGAGTTAAAATTAGTTCAATGCCAGTATCACTGACTAACTGGTTTGGTAAGCCAAAAGTGGAAAAAGTAATCTTTAGTGTATCAATGGTAGCCTTAGCTGTAGTTGAAGACATTGAATGTATATCTACCCACTTTGAATGCCTCGGCCAAGACAACAAGTTCCTACCAGGTAGATTATTTTGAGTCATCTGGCACGTTTCGCAACTACCAATAAAATTCTCAAATTCTTCGGAATGATTTGGCCACCCGAATAGAGACCGAGCAAGCATTTTGGATTTGACCACCCCAATATGACTTTCATGGAGTACACTCAATACATTGGGTCTTAAATAATTTGGAACAATGACACGGCTTCCCCACAAAATACAACCCTCCTCTACTGACAGCTCATTTTATTTAAAAAAAACATGGACAACTCGAAGACAGAAACACTGCCACTTTCTTATAGACAAGTTCTTGTAGTGATTACGGAAATTTTAATGAAGAATAACAAGGACTTACCAAACAACCATCCCAGGAGAGACCATCACTCAGACAGCACAACCAGAGACTTCAATTAAAATTTATCTGAACATCGATATCCAGAAATTATTGAAAGCCGGTACCTTTCCTCTCAAGAATGACCAGCCAATAGGAATTAAACAAAATAATTGACCTACATTGGGATTTTGTTGGAAAGTTTTTTTTTCAGGTAATGACCAACGTGAATTCAGACACAACGGTACCTGTTTGGGAATCCGCCCACTGAGCAGTGCTCAGTCTTCCCGTGCCAATCCTTGACGCGTTTCGTCCTTGTTAGGACTCATCAGAAGGACATAGGCTGAAGCTCCCTGTCCAAGCAAAATTGAACCTTGTTTGACCAGTCAGAAACAACTACTCCGAGGGCAAATACCCCTACCGGCATTGAACAACACTGATTGGTCTGAGCTTTCGTTGGCAATGGAAATTGTTAGAAAGTTTTTTTTTCAGGTAATGACCAACGTGAATTCAGGGACACAACGGTCCCTGTTTGGGAATCGGCCCACTGAGCAGTGGACTCAGGCTTCCCGTGCCAATCCCAACGCGTTTCGTCCTTGTTAGGACTCATCAGAAGGACATAGGCTGAAGCTCCCTGTCCAAGTAAAATTGAACTTTGTTGACCAGTCAGTGGGCCGATTCCCAAACAGGGACCGTTGTGTCCATGAATTCACGTTGGTCATTACCTGAAAAAAAAAAAACTTTCTAACAATTTCCATTGCCAATGAAAGCTCAGATCAATCAGTGTAGTTCAATGCCGGTAGGGGTATTTGCCCTAGGAGTAGTTGTTTCTGACTGTTCAACAAAGTAACATTGGGATGTTAATAAAGCAAAAGTTCATGGACTTTTTTTTTTAAGTGCTTTGAACAATAGGGTAGTGGCCAAGGTATAATTTCAGTGAAATCGATGATCTATTGTTCATTTATGGAGTAAATGAAAAATATTCCTATTGAAAAAAATTTCAGAAAAAATTGCTAACTTTGTTTAAAACGATTGTAAAAGTACAGTTTTGGGACGCACTATTTAAACGAAAATATTTCGCGCCTTGATTCTACGTCATAGCTGCTGTATTTGAGTATGAAATGAATCAAACCTTCGTCCTATATTCGATACACACTTACTCATCAAAAGAGAGATATATCAGCGTCTGTCGGCGCACCCTCAACTTAACCCCACTTTTTGAGAGATTTCCATTTCTCAATCAATGCGCACTGAGCTTATCTGCATCTTTTTCTAGAAGCATGTAAAATATAAGGACGCACTGACCACGCTCTCGCCCACTCTTATTAATGTCGGAATGCCTTAACCAATGAACTATAACCAAAAACTGGAATGCTAACACATAAGGACGAACGTGAAGCCTAGTGCGGCTGCTGCGGAGGGGATACCTGTTTTTGTCGCACTCATTATGTTAAATGGCG